AGTTATTATAAATTTTTAAGTTTATAATATTTATAAAACTAATTCCATCATTTCCCCCCTTATTTTTTAACAACTTTCAACTGTTGATCTACCCAAATCATAATATCATATTAGTAGCAGTTTTTAGCTAAGTCCTGTTCATAATTCAACTCTTCTATATATGTGTGGGGTGAATATTTATCAAGCATTTACTATTAGAAGTCTATTATCATGAGTATTCGTTGTCTATTATTATTAGTATTCGTCTTGTAATAGGTTTACTATTCTCTACTAGATATACTCTTGTACAGACTCATTGATTATTCAGATATGTCGTATCCTCATCTGGTACCAGCAGTTTTTTTTCTCTCTACATGGCGCAACTCGGTTCTGATGACGATTTTGTTGGTAGCTCCGAACGGACTGTTTTTTAGGCTGCTCTTGTTGCACCACTGCAGTCGGGGGTATCCTTCTCCTCAGCGCATCACTTCGTCTCCATTAAGTTGACCTCCCGCAATGTTTTATTCTGGCGTACTCAGCTTCTTCCGTTTCTGGATGGCCAAGGATTGTTGGGTTTTGTCGATGGTACTTTTCCATGTCCGCCGCTCACCATGCTCGCCGTGCCGCCTGCCGAGGGAGCTGTCACTGCCGTGCCTACGTCGGCTACTTCTTCCGCTGCTCGGAGTGCATGGCTCCGTCAAGATAAGGCCGTGATCTCCTTGTTGATCTCGTCCTTGTCCGACGGTAAGTCCACCTCTCGGCATCTATGGTTGGCGATTGAACAAGTGCTTTGCTCGATGACACGGGCTCGTGCTCTCCGGTTGGTGGGCGAATTCCAGGGATTGCGGCAGGGGGATGCTTCCATCCCGGACTATCTTGGCCGTGCGCAGGTGCTTATCGAGGATTTGGCGCTTGCCGGCCGTCCGGTGACGCTAGAGGATCAGAATATGTATATATTCCGAGGTTTACAGTCCGAGTATCGCCCTTTGGTGGCGTCGCTGACAAGGGGTGCTCCGGTGTCTCTGCCCGAGCTATCTGATTTCCTTATTTCGCAGGCCTTTATTTGTGCCGATGACGTTGGTGATGTTGCTGCCGCTCCAGTCGCCATGGCGGCTCAACAAGGTGGAGGCCGCTCGGGCGTGCAGCAGCGTGGAGGCGGCAACCGCGGCCGTGGTCGCGGTCGAGGTGGTGTCGGCGCTGTCCAGTGCCAAATTTGCTCCGGCGAGGGGCATTCGGCCGCTTCGTGTTTTCGCCGGTACGATGGACCTCCGAGGCCGAAGCGCATGTTGCATATCCCGTGGACGATGCAACTTCGGTTGGCACTCAGCAATGGTTTCCCGACACTGGTGCGTCGAACCATACCACCCTGGATTGGTCTTTGATGTCCTCGGCAGTTTCTTATACCAACTCGGATCACCTTCGTGTTGGTGATGGTAAGTGTTTACCTATTATTGGTACTGGTTCATCTTCGGTAGCCTCTTCTAAAACACTGTTTCGGTTATCTGATGTTCTTTATGTTCCTGGGCTTTCTGCGTCTTTATTATCTGTACAACGCTTTGCACGAGATAATAATGTCTTTTTTGAATTTCACCCTGATTGTTTCTTTGTGAAGGATCATTCAACCAAGGAATTTCTGTATAGAGGGAAGGCTTCGGGGGTCTCTATTCTTGGCTTGTTTCTCGTTCGAGTCTCGCTGCGTTAGTGGCTTCTCATGTCTCCTCTGAAGTTTGGCATGGTCGGCTGGGTCACCCGCATTCTCGTGTCTTGCGGAAAATTTTGAATTCCTGTTCTATTGATTCTAGTTTTAGTAATAGTTCGGTGTCTTGTCGTGCTTGTATGCTCGGGAAATCGTCTCGGTTTCCCTTGCCTCGTATCAATACTACTACGTCGCATGTTTTAGAACTTATTTATAAGGATATTTGGGGTCCATCGCCTTTTCTTTCTGTCAATGGTTTTCGATAGTTCGTTTTGTTTGTTGATGACTACACACGCTATGTATGGTTTTATCCTATGCGTTTAAAAACTGATGTGTATGCTATCTTCGAGCTGTTTCGGTCACTTGTTGAGCGTTCATATGGTCATAAGATTGTCTCTATACAATCTAATTTAGGGGGAGAGTATAAACGGTTGCACCGTGCTTTTGTCTCTTTGGGTATCAATCATAGGCAGTCTTGTGCCTTTACCCATGAGCATAATGGTAGAGTTGAGCGTTGGCATCATCACGTTGTGGAAACGAGTTTTGCTCTCATGGCTCAAGCTTCGGTTCCGCAGCGATATTGGGATTATGCCTTTGAGACTGCGGTCTATCTAATCAATAAAATGCCTACTCGTGTCCTAGATAATGTTAGTCCTCATTATCGCTTGCACCATTCTAATCCTTCCTATTCCTTCCTACACGTGTTTGGCTGTCTCTATTATCCTCTGTTGCGCCCATACAATCGTAACAAGTTGCAGTATCGGTCATCCCCGTATGTGTTCCTTGGTTATCCGTCATCATTTCGTGGCTATCGTTGCTTTGATCCTGCTACTAACAAGGTATTCATTTGCCATCATGTGCGATTTGATGAGACCATATATCCGTTTGCTTCTTCTGTGCCTTCTCAGGTTCCCTCGCTCTCGCCCGGTTCAGCCGTGGGGTGTTGGTGCTGTTCAGGTTGGTGTTGGCTCCGATGTGTGTCCTACTAGACCGGACCCTCTTCCGGTGTTGGACGCGGATTCCAGGGCTGCCGCGGTTGATTCGAGTTCTTGCACCGTGACTGCCGTAGCCTCAATGGTGCGGTCTCGAGTGCTCCTACCAGGCCCAAGTGAGGTCTCCGTACGGTGAAGGATGTTCAGCCTCGGTCTCATGTTATGGCGACTTGTTCTCAAGGACCGACTCAGTATGTAGCACTTATGGCATTTCCTGAGCCGACTTGTTATTCACAGGCGGTTCGGTATCCGGAATGACGTGAGGCCATGGATTTTGAGTTTAATGCCTTGCTCCAGAATCACACTTGGCATTTGGTTAGTCGCACGCCAGGCATGAATGTTGTGGGGTGAAAATGGGTGTTCAGAACGAAGCGCAAGACAGATGGAACGATTGAACGGCACAAGGCTCGGTTGGTTTCTAAAGGTTTCAATCAAGTGGCAGGGCAGGATTTTTTCGAGACTTTCAGTCTTGTCGTCAAACCAAACACCGTGAGGCTTCTTCTTTCCTTAGCAGTCTCTCGCGGTTGGGTCATTCGGCAGTTGGATGTTCACAATGCCTTTCTCAATGGCAATCTTGTAGAAACGGTTTACATGCGGCAACCACCCGGTTATGAAGACCAGTCGCGGTCGGACTATGTTTGTTTGTTACAGAGGTCACTTTATGGTCTTAAGCAGGCTCCTCGGACGTGGTTCAATAGGTTGCATGCTTTCTTGGTGTCGGTTGGCTTTTCACCCTCCAAGACTGATGTTTCCTTATTCATCTATACTCGTGACTCTGTCTGTTTATATTTGCTTGTGTGTGTTGATGATATCCTTGTTATGGGATCTGATGCTTCTCGTGTTACTCGGCTCCTTGCTGACTTGGCCTCAGAATTTAAGACGGTGTCCCAGGATGGCGGTTTGTTCCTTTCTCAGCAGCGATACATGCGGGATATTTTGAGCCGTGTAGGTATGGTTGATTGTAAACCGTTGGCTACTCCGGTTCCTGTGTCTCGGCCTTCTTCTGATTCTGTGGTTCCCTATGCGGATCCCACGTAGTATCGTAGTCTTGCTGGGGCTCTACAGTATCTTACTGTCTCCCGCCCGGATCTATCTTTTGCCGTGAATCGGGTTTGTCAGCATATGCACTCTCCGACTACTAAGCATTGGGTTATGCTCAAGCGTGTCCTACGGTACGTTAAAGGAACTCTGCATTTTGGTCTTTTTATTCGTCCTTCCTCTTCTGTTGCCGTCCATACTTTTTCGGATTCAGACTAGGCTGGTGATTTGGCTGATAGGAAATTCACTAGTGGTTTTGCGGTTTTTCTTGGTGGTAATCTGATTTCCTGGTCTTTTCAGAAGCAACGTACGGTTACTCGTTCGTCTACTGAGGCTGAATACAAGGTGCTAGCTGATGTGTCTGCAGAGGTCACCTGGTTGGTTTCTCTGTTGCACGAGCTTGGGGTATCGTTGGCTGTTCCTCGCACTCTCAGGTTTGATAACCTGGGTGCGACTTATCTCTGTTCCAATCCGGTGTTTCATGCTCGTACGAAACATGTGAAAATTGATTACCATTTTGTTCGTGACAAAGTGGCGAAGAAAGAGTTGCAGGTTAGCTTCATTTCCACAAAGGATTAGCTAGCTGATGTATTCACTAAAGCTCTACCTGGTCCGCGTTTCTCTACTCTGTGCGGCAAGCTCAATGTTGTTGCTAGTCCACCTTGTGCTTGATGAGAAGTATTAGGAGTCACTACAGAATTGGAAATATAAGTAGTACTTTGCACTGCACCTTCACGTGAAGGTGTCTTGGATAGAAAAAGGGAGAACTTTCCGAGGCACCAATTATAAAGAGGTGTCTCGGATATTTTATTATTATAATAATAATATGCGAATCCGCGGCACCCACTCGGAAAGGGTGCCGCGGATATAATATTATAATAATAATAATATTAGAATCCGCGGCACATCCCTAAGTGGTTGCCGTGGATATAATATTATTATAATAATAATATTGGAATCCGCGGCACCCTCTGGGAAAGGGTGCCGCGGGTTCCAATATTATCTACTTCTACTATACTAATAAGAGCCCAAGAGAGTTAGGCCTATAATGGGTAGAAAAAATGGCGGTCACAGATTTTAATCAAATGAATGGCTCAGATTGATTAAAAAATTGATAAGATTTAAATTTTTACACTAAAATTTCCTAAAATACCCACACACCGTTACTTTTTTGAAGGTCAATCTTGCGATTGTATTAATGAATCAAAGCCGAAATAGTGTCAGGTGGGATAGCATCCCAGTACATAGCTTGATCCTGAGTAAATGCTAACGTAGCTAAAGTATGCGCATGTAAATTAACCTGCCTAGAAATATAATCCAAAGTAATACGATTAAAAAACGACATAAACGTCCTGCACTGGTCAACTGTGACCCCAACGTACGAATGTATCGGCGTATGATGGTGCCTGAATATCGCTGCCAATTCCATGCAATCCGTGAGTAAACTTACTGATGTGGTGTCCCGTTCAAGTAGCCAGGACAAAGCCTCCTTGTATGCCTGAGCCTCCGCCATAAGTGGTGAAAAACAAACTGGTAACTTGCCATTCCTTGCTGCCACAAACGAGCCATCTGGCGCTATAATTACCATACCGTAAGTAGCCTCGCCCGTGTCGTGCCGGAAACCCGCGTCCACATAACATCGTAGACCACCCCCTCCTGGACCATTCACGTGGTCCGTCGCCGGTGTCGGGTTGGTTCGGCCAACATGAGCAGTGCTGTACGCCTGCAGTGCTAAGGTGGCTGCTCTGACCAACTGGGTAGGCCGCATCATTGATCCCTTCCAGACAGCTGAATTCCGGGTTCTCCAAATATAATATAATACTGCTACCATTAACCGGATCTGCTCCTCCGTCAAGACTGCCATAACCCCTTTTAGCCATGTTGTAAACGAGTCTGCAACAATATTAATAATAGGTAATTGTGTTATATCCCAAACAAGTCTAGAATATTCACAGACCACTAAAGCATGCAACACATCTTCATGATCTAAACCACACATTGGGCAAGTTGGGTCCACCTCCACCCTTTTAAATATCAAGTTAAGGGTTGTTGGTAATACCCACACACCGTTACTAATTCCGTTAAAATTTTAAGAATTGCCGTTAGTTCACCGTTAACTTACTCATATTAATGTCTCATTATGTATGTCATTATTGTTCTATATTATATATGTATGTAATCCTTTTGTAAGAAGAAGCCATGGAAATGAAATGATATCACTCCCTTCTCTTTATAATTGGTGCCTCGGAAAGTTCTCCCTTTTTCTATCCAAGACACCTTCACGTGAAGGTGCAGTGCAAAGTACTACTTATATTTCCAATTCTGTAGTGACTCCTAATACTTCTCATCAAGCACAAGGTGGACTAGCAACAACATTGAGCTTGCCGCACAGAGTAGAGAAACGCGGACCAGGTAGAGCTTTAGTGAATACATCAGCTAGCTAATCCTTTGTGGAAATGAAGCTAACCTGCAACTCTTTCTTCGCCACTTTGTCACCGTTTTTTAATCGTATTACTTTGGATTATATTTCTAGGCAGGTTAATTTACATGCGCATACTTTAGCTACGTTAGCATTTACTCAGGATCAAGCTATGTACTGGGATGCTATCCCACCTGACACTATTTCGGCTTTGATTCATTAATACAATCGCAAGATTGACCTTAAAAAAAGTAACGGTGTGTGGGTATTATAGGAAATTTTAGTGTAAAATTTAAATCTGATCAATCTTTTAATCAATCTGAGCCATTCATTTGATTAAAATCTGTGACCGCCATTTTTTCTACCCATTATAGGCCTAACTCTCTTGGGCTCTTATTAGTATAGTAGATATAAATAATAATTTAGTAGCTACAACAAAAAATTATAGATATGCATTTCTTTAATTTAGAATTATGTGTCCACAATGCCTTTATTAAAAAAAATTATTCATTATCAATAAATTAAATAAGAGAAATAATTGTATTAGTTATATTGTCTTTATTTTTCTACAATATAAAAATTCTTTATATTCAAATTTATTAATTGATTATATTCGCTACATTGTCCTTACAATGTCTTAATTCAGTGAAAAAAAAATTATTCATTATCAATAAATTAATTAAGAGAAATATTTTCATTAGTTATATTGTCTTTATTTTTCTCAAATGTAAAAAATTTTACATTCAAATTCATCAATTGATTATATTCACTACATTGTCTATTATCTTTTTTGTGCACTACTTTTCAAATTAAATATCAAAGTTATAATACAAAATAATGCTATATATTTATTTACCAAGTATTTTATTAATACCATGAAAAAATTTTAAAAAAATATAATTAATAAAGTCAACCAAATTAACTACTTGAGAGATTTTGTGACAAAGAGAGTATTTAAATCACACAACAAATTGAAGTGAGAACTACCTTGCAATGTCCTTGTTTGACAATCAACAGTTAGCGGATTATATTAGCGGATTTGACCAACGAATTTATTTAATTATTAACATTGGGTAGAAAAAATGACCGCCAAATTATTAAATCAAATGAATGGTTCAAATTGTTCAGGTTTTGATTTTTTTAAAAGTTTTTCTAATTTATCCTTAATTATATGATTATCCATTTAACTTTTTCGTTAGACACCGTTAATTCACCGTTAGTCTAATTCTAATATTAACGTCTAATATAGAATTATAATTACACCATTAATCTAATTCTAATATTAAAGTCTTAATAGAACTTAACAACAAATCCTAATGTCGAAATCTCCTCAAACAATATTAGTATATATTTAATATTTTATGCCCTAATTTTTATTTGTTCTCCCTTATGTCCCGTATTTGGTTTCAACCATACCTATACAATTATTTTATTGACAATTATAATCAATCTTGACTATATTATCTTGCATTTGTAAACTTAGAATTACCTATTTAACCCACACGGGCTTAGCTCAATTGTTTAGTAGGCAGTATTTGGGAGAAGAGACCAAGGTTTGAACCTCGGCGGCGGTAGTGCGGGAATTATGTCCAAAGTGGGCAGATTCCTTGTTCCCACCGGCATTTGGTCCTGTCTGCTGAACCATTGAGTCACCGTGATTTACAACTTCCCACAATGCTCTGTCGGGTCGGAGTGTGGGGGGCCCTTGGGGTTGGGGACTCAACCTTTGGGAGAAGAATTACCTATTTAAATACGCAAATTCAACCTTCAATTATCTATGCATGAACAATTTCAATATAATCTTGCCTTAATATACTTTAAAGTACTTATTTTTTAAAAAAAAATATTGGGCATTATCCCAATCGCGCAATGCGCGTAAAAAACAGGTATTATAATAATATATTGGATTCCGAGGCACCTGCCTTGACCGGAGCCCCGGATTCCCACCCAAAAATAACCCATCTGGTCGAAATTTAAACCTAAGAAAAAAAAAAAAAAGCCACCTAAGTAAAAAAAGAAACCGATCTCCCGAAGCTCCATCACCACAGATCGATCTCCCTAACCCTTCTGGTTGAAACTCCATTGCTGGCCATCACCTAAGCTCTCCATCGCCGGCCACGCCGTCCGGCTCTCCACCTCGCCGCCTCCGGTGCGTCCCCTCACCTCCCTCTGCAGACAGTCGCGACGGCCAACCCTTGTCGATCTCCCTAAGCTCCATCGCCACAGATCTGGAAACTCCATCACCAGCCATCGCCTAAGCTCTCGCTCGACGGCCAACAGCCGCGACGGCTAACCTGTGCGTCCCCTCGCCGCCTCGCTGCTTCGTCGGCTCGCCCCTCGCGGTAAGTTCTCTTTTTATTTATTTATTTATTTATTTCGAATTTTAATTATTTGAGAATGAATTGTGTGTTTTCTAGACCTTCCAATTTGAAAGTTTTGATTTTGGAACATTGGAAGTATAGGTATATTATGTTTAAGGGTTACTTTTGTGACCACAAAGTTTTTGGCATTTGTTTGTTTATTTACTTATACTAAAATGAAATGTAATGTTGCAGGGTAGGCTAGGTAGCATACCATGATAGATGAAGTTGAGATTAGGCTACATTATGCACCATACCATGTTTTCTGGATACAGAAACTAATAATCATTCACCCTAATAATGTGAAGATAATGAGGAGCTTTAATCTAATGAACTTTGAAATTTATTGAGTAATAATTATGGATACAGAAACTAATAATCATTCACCCTAATAATGTGAAGGTAATGAGGAGCTTTAATCTAATTAACTTTGAAATTTATTGAGTAATAGAGCATATTGCAAAGGCTTCATTAACACATTTTCTGACATCATTCAATTGTATGTGTGCGCCAATTGAATTAGCAATCGTTATGCCATGGAACAGTGTTTACCATTCATGGGGAATACGGTCCCAACGGTGTTAGTGCACTGTTATCTTCTTTTTTTTTTTCTTTTTTTTTTTAATTAATCGCGTGACTTTTCTTCTTCATTTTCACATTTCGCGGTTTGACTTTAATTTGAGGTGAGCAATGATTTCGGACATTCATAAATTATGAATCCATGCCTGCACATTCACTTTGGAACCATGCTTACACATTCCCGTCCAAAATCATGGTAGCTCCTCTGTAGCGCAACCTTCTTCAACATTCATAAATTATGAATTTTCTGTTATGAGATTATGAATTTTTTGTTATGAGATTATGAATTTTCTGTTTTGAGATTATGAATTTTCTGTTATGAGATTATGAATTTACAATAAATTCTTAATCTCATAACAGAAAATTCATAATTTAATAAATATTTTTCTTTTATGCGATTATGAATTTTCTGTTATGAGATTATGAATTTATAGTACATTCATAATCTCATAACAGAAAATTCATTATATGACCAAACGCGCGTCGTTAACACCACATCTGCGATTTTTTTTTTTTTTTTTTTTTTTTACGTAAAAACGGCGCCGTTTGGACCCGTGTTCACCATTAATGGTGAACACGTTTCCAGGGCATAATTTGCGTTGAATTAGTGAATTGGCCATACATATATTTAGTTAGTGGATTAAGAAGTTGAATACGAAGTTTTTGTACCTCCTGTCAGTGTGATGGAACGACGGAAAAATACATCATTTTAGAAAAAGAAGACAATGTAACAGATTCTTTAAAATATCCCAATACACAGCTGTTTGAGATAGCAGACTATATTAGAACTTTATCCAAATAAGAAGCCAAGAATTGAATTGTATGAGACAGAGAAGCAAACTTAGTGAAACAAACACGTACAAGTAAGAAGCACAATTGAAATGGAAAAAGCAGAGGAAGTCATGCATGACTAACAGTCTAGAATTAGGAGATTTGGAACAAAAGATGAAAGTTAACTGACCACTTTGTGCAGTTTGAGAGTCAGTGGTTTGTGACAGAGCCTTTTCCTCTTCACCAAGCCGATATTCATAGTATTTGTAATCAGGACAACTATCATCAAATAAGAACCTGCAAGAGTCCAATATATATATATATATATAGATGGTAAATTTCAGGATATGCTACAAACTAAACATGAAAAACAAATTATAGACTTCAGGTATTTAAAGAGGACATCAAAGAGAGGAAAAAGAGAAAACGAACTACAAAATTTTATTATCAAAGCTAAATGAAGTAGACAGACAAACAAGTTACCAATATATAGTTATATACACACATGGTAAATTTTAGCCACAAACTAAAAATTCATTCAAAGTCAACACTTGGCCTGAGTAAAAGACATTTTTGGTCCTAGACTTATAGTGGCTTGGACAATTTTAGTCCTTTATAAAAAAAATTGCCATTTTATGGACAAAGTTATTGTGGCGAGGACATTTTTGGTCCTCCGTCTATATTTCTGTTAGATAACTGTATGAGAAAGGGGCAATTACGTCAATTTAGGCTATCTCCTTCTATCTATTATATCAACATAGATATAATAGATAGAAGGAGATAGCCTAAATTGACGTAATTACCCCTCTCTCAGACGGTTATCTAACAGAAATATAGACGGAGGACCAAAAATGTCCTCGCCACAATAACTCTGTCCATAAAATGGCAAATTTTTTTATAAAAGACTAAAATTGTCCAAGCCACTATAAATTTAGGACTAAAAATGTCTTTTACTCACTTGGCCTCATTAATTTTTTGTAAAGTTAAAGTTGTCCATCCTTCACCTCTTTCTCTTTGATTGGGGCTAATCAAGTTGTCCATTTTCTAATTTAATTTGCTCTGATCTACTTTGCTGTTCATTTTTGAACTAGAAAACTGTTGTTATTCATAAATTGAATATCGATGCCGGAACAATGTCTCCTTTTGAACATGGTGAAGTATTTGTCTTGGATGATGGTGGCGAGGTCAGAAGAACATTTTTCTTATATAATTCATGTATGCTACATTGGGTTGGGAAAAAAGGAAAAATAAAAATTGTATATATTATCGGATATAGTATTTTGTCAAATACTGTACTAACTTGAAAGTGATCATGACAACTTATGCTAGTTAACACTTCAAGAGTACTTACTATTTTGGACCAAACAGCTATGCTTTGCTTGATGTGCTTCTCTGTCTTAATATAGGGCATTTCGATCTCTTTCTACAATTGGAGGAAAACTAAGGCGATTGATTGGAAGCAATGCAAAGTATGAAGTTAAAATTAAAGTTTTAATATGATATTAACCTTTGTTTTTGTTAGGAACACTTGTATTAGGATTTTGATGATACCAATGTAACCTAGAATGTAGACCCCTAACCTTCGTATTTTTTAATCACTGCTTTCGTTCTAGACGGAAGTTGCCATAACTCGAATTGTAATTCGTGTTAAGTTAGACAAACACACGAAAACGAGTTATATTCTTTTATTAAGGTTATCAAGACGAGAAGAGACTCAAAGCACGAAGACTGAAGCGTCAACAACGAAAGTTCATCAGAGGTTATCAACCACCTCGAAGAGACAGCTACTATTATGACGATTCATTAAGACATTCATTCTCTTCTACAACGAGAAGAATGTCTCTACTGTCTGAGCTGTCTAAACATCTGAGGAACAAAAGGACCTCAACATGTGGGACACGCACACCAAGGAGCATTAAATGAACTTGTACCATCCTTGAAGCTAAAAGACAAAACCCTAAGGCTATCCATGCCCTCAACGGTTACATGGTACAAACCACATTAATGGAACATTTAATGCAGCAAGGTCCCTGGTCCTTACCCACTGGATAATAGGTTTGAAATTTCATCTCCCTCCAACGGATGAAATTTCCCTCACCTATATAAACCCACCTTCATCAACTAAGAAGGTGCTGGTTCTTTTCACTCGATAATACTATCAAGCAAAAGCTCTTAAACAATTTCAGCCCTCACCTAGCTTTTGCGAACCAGTGTCAAGGCGTGAAGATATTTGAAGAAGCTCATTAATCCTCATCTTCCTCCTTGAAGAAGTCTTGCTTTTTATACGAAGCAATCATCCTTCATTCAAGTCAAGACTTCACCACGTTGGAGAAATCAGAAATCATTTTCTACCAACCTCAACTCTGAAGAAGACGTTGATAGAGGCGGAGTAACCTCGAGGAGTTGAAAAACCTACAGGAAGCTGTCCGACTTAGTGATCAAGGAAGCTCTCGTGTATTTGTACTAACGAGTGATAGTGCAAACCTTCCATAAGTTGTGGAAGAAGAGTGTAAGTAGGCAAAGTTGGCCGAACCACTATAAAAACTCTCGTCTCCATATCTCTTTATATTTGTGATTTACTATCTGCATCATATCATCTTTCGCGCAAAAACGAACGTTTCGTTAAAACACCAAACTGTGCAAAGCAATTTAAATGAACTTAATATTTTCCACTGCGCCGTAACGCCGAAAGGTTGTTATTTGCCAAAATCTGAAAAGAGTCTATTCACCCCCCCCCCCTCTAGACTCTCATTATATCACTACCGGGACCAACAAGTGGTATCAGAGCCAATACCTTGATCGGTAAAGGCCTTTGCATTTACTGCCTGGTAGATCCCCTATCAAAAAGTTTCTGAAAATCTGCATATTTTCAGCTTTGCACTTTTTTGTTTAAAAATGGAAAAGGATCATGCTAACTGTTCTAAGCAGCTTGCCTTTAGCCTCTCAAAATTTGATGACTGAAAAGTGAGAATGCAGGCCCTTCTCTCGTCAATACATGACGAAATTTGGGATGTAATAACCACAGGACCAATCACAGTCATGATGGCAAACACACAAGCTGCAGCTCAAGGAGCAGGAGCTGCGCAGATGATACCGAAACCAAAAGATCAACTCACCTCGGAAGAAAGAACAAGGGCAAACTTGGATAATGTAGCACGAAATATTCTCTACAACTCTCTCGACGATTCCTTGTTCCCCAGAGTCCGAAAATGCAAGAATGCCATGGAAATCTGGAATGTTCTGATGAACTTGGGTGAAGGAGATGAACAGGAGAAGGACAACAAACTAACAGTGGCCATGAAAAAGTTTGAGGACTTCAAGATGTTGCCGAATGAAGCTGTCACAGACATGGAGCTAAGGTTTACCAGACTCATGGGAGATCTGTCAGATCTCGAGAAGGAACTAACTGAGAAAGAAAAGAACCTGAAGATTCTTCGTGGTCTGCCGAAGTCTTGGGAAATGAAAGTCATTGCAATTAGAGATAACCGAGACATGAAGACTACAAGCACAGCCAAAATCTTTAGTGATCTTAAGGCTTACG